TTCTCGTTCTACGGAGAAAATAAAATAAAATGTTTAGCAAATTTTTATTTGCGCCCCTTAAAGGGCCCCAAATTCCTAATTTTGGTATTTGAGTTGGAGAAAACAAAGAATCTTACTTCATTCATGTAATTCGTTAACCAGATTGAGGGTTTGCTTAAAAACATAAAGTAGTGCCAAAGTAGATTAGCAGGAAGGCCTAATTATCTCCAACTCATATACCAAAATTAGGAATTTGGTGCCCAAATAAAAATTTGCTAGACATTTTTTTTTTCACCGTGAACAAGAATCCGTTGTGAAAAAGTAGGGTTCCCATTGAAAAAAAAATTCATCTCCGTATGCGGGCCTGGGGGGGGGGGGGGTTGTGAGTAGATCTATTATTTGGTTTCCATTGAACCCTTCAACTTTTGTGGAAACCATTTTTTTGTTAGCGGCTTCCGGAAAGAACTATATTATTATTATCCATAATAGATTAAAATGGTCCACCCTGTGTATGAATATAACAATTCTGAAACATTGAGAAAAAAATAGGTAATTTTTTTCACAATCATTCCAGGTGATATCTATTTATTTCTTTTCAGAATCTGTTCGTGCATCATATCCCAACATGGATGATAGCTTTTTGAGAAGATAGTGATGATTTGATTCCATTATGCTAAAACGAGATTTATTAGAAAAATTTACAACTGAAAAAGCCTTTATCCTCCATACTCATAAAACTAATGTTTTAGTTTCTACTAGAATTTTTAATAATTTTGTATGAATAATCGTTATTTTTATTTGTAAAGATGATATAAAATTGAATAAAAATATATCAAAAAATGTATTGCTTCAATAGTGGTATTATCATCTCTTATCTTGAATTGTATTAATTTCGTTCTAATAATATGATTATTGGTAGAAACAATTATTTGCATGTGGAAATACTTTTGATACTGACAAAAGCCCGTGTATAATGTCATCAAATTTGATCAAATTATTTGATATAATGCTATATTCTTCAATTCATCCGAATGGAACATTGTCGAATGTTTTTCAAGAATGAGATGAAAATGGCGTCACTTCAAACAAATTTGATGAAATTGTTGGCCTTTTTTATCAGTATCAAAAATATTTTCAAATTTTGCACCAGCCTACCAAAGTGTAATTTCAATGCAAATTCAGAATTAGCTCTTCTATAACTCATTATCCACTCGCCCTGATTTTGTCGTGAGTATTACTGGTATTTACAATACCATATAAAACAATTAACCTGCGAGTTTTACCATCAGCTCAAGATACAATTTTCGTAAAAATTGCAGAGAGTTCTCAAGTGACAGCTATAATTTTTTGCAAGTTTACTGCAAATTATCTGAGAATTCGCAAAATAATCATTTAGAGTAAACTCACTGGAACTTCGGTATGAGCTGACATTCAATTTTCTGACAACTTCCATCATGTAAGTTTCCATTGTGAATTCCGTAGGAGGAAGATGCCATCTCTGAGTTAACTTGCTGCAAATTGAATGTGTAATTTACACTCGCAAAAATGTACTTGCTGGAAATTTGCAGTAAATTGAAATTGTTTAGTGGGGTATTTTTATTGTGCTCGAGGGGTGAAGAGATACCTACATGAGATATCAAATATATACAGGTCGTGCATAAAATGTTGTATGTATTTCGGGCGCAACTAGCTTTCATGGACCTAGGCGTGTTAATAGCCCTCGCTATCGATCGGTCTATTACTTACACGCTGCGGTCCATAAAAGCCTATTTTACGCCCTTGATACATAAATAACTATTATCGCTATGAAGAAATAGTACAATAGTTACGTATAATGTATGGAAGAATAAAAAAACGTAGATGAAATTGCAATTCCACCATCATCGCAGTGTCGTAGAATTCAGGTAGAATCAATCAGTCACTTGCCCCTATCGTACTCCTCTGTGGTAGTAGCCAGGAATGTTCATTCAACATAATTTGGTAGGATGTATAGTATCTACACTTCCCGCCGATTATGATATAATGATACGTCAATTAGCTCCAAAGTACTAGGCACAAATAATTTTTAAATTTTCAAATAATCCACCCTGTAACTCAAACAAGAAATATATATTTTTACAACGGCTATAACACAAAATTGTTTTTCTTCTACTATGTTCGATACGTCAATGAGGTACTTTGTGTGTCATCAATTTTATTTTTCTACAAACGCTTAACAAAGTAGCCTTTGACGCTTTCAAATTCCAGCACAAAGTTGACGTTTTCCCAGAAATGTCATTCTTTGACAGCATTTGCGCTCGTGAGCGGAAATATTGAAAAAACGCTCGCACATCTCTGTAACCTATACTTACCTATTCTTGAAAACCCCCAATTCTTTCATGATGGAATAGTGACAGTGAATCATCAAACACACCTCCTTCCTGATGATATAGCAGAGAGAGCAAGAGTTTGAATCTCTTACCGGAGAAATCAAGGAAGAAATATGAATTACAATATGATACATTCATAAATTGGTGCCAGTCCGAGATGGTGAATATGTATTCAGAAAACGTTTTACTTGCTCATTTTGGTAAAAAATCAAAGACTTTGAAGTCATCAACTCATTGGTCTATATAATTATATTCGATGGTACGTATACATGCTTGAATGTTAAAGATAATATCGGAATCAATAAGTATCTGAAGCTTATCGCATTTCTCAAGAAACAATCTATTGGATATAAAGCGAGAAAAATCCAAAACATTCACCGCTGAAGATATATATACCAACAAATTTCTACAAGAAGCTCCCGATGAAGCATATCTGTTGAAAACGATGAATTATACTTTATATTCAAACTCTTTGTTGTCATCAGAAAGACATAGTGTATCTTTATTTTATTACATCAATGAGTAATGTTCAATTTGATTGCAGAGCTTATCGTACTATGGCTCAGAGGTCTGAGGCTCAGGTTGCCACGCTGGTGGTCCAGTTTCAATTCTCGGTAGGCCGGACAATTTTTTTCTGGCTTGTCAGTTATTTCAATTTTTCTTTTTTTGTTTCGTTTGGACATATGGGATAATATGGATAAGAACTTTCTCAACTATTTCAATCGCTCATAGTTTCAGGGTAGTTATTTCCAAAAGCTGCGTTAGTGGAAAAAATCTTGTGTGTATTTCGAGCACAAAGTGTTATTGCCGCTCTCCAAAGATTACCGCGCTCCGCTCCGCATCGCGCGGTAACTTTCTTTGTCGAGCGGCAATCTATCACTTTGCGCTCTAAATACACAAATAGCTATTCCATATCTGATATCACAATAATGACTCCATTGTGTTATTAATTAAAAAAAAAACTCATCGTCCATGGAATGTCGAATTTCAAGCAATGACAGCTCTGTCTAATAGATGAGCATTACGTGACAGGAAATCAAATGGCTATACATGACGAAGAAATCGAAAAAACCGCTGTTATCTATTATCTATTGCCTTCATAATGGATGGTTTTGAAAACAGAGAGCATACTGGCACTGTTTTCTGTGATCTAAGTAAGGCATTTGACTGTATGTCACATGAACTGCTCATCAGAAAGCTGAAGTACTATGGGTTCAATGTAAATAGCATTGAACTCATAAATTCATATTTGAAAAATAGAGTCCAAAGAGTAGTGGTTGATGGGGTGTCGTCAGGGACAGGAGTAGTCGATATAGGAGTTCCCCAGGGGTCCATACTGGGAGCACTTCTTTTCTTAATTTACATTAACAACTTACCTTGTATAGGCAATACAGAACGATATGTCCTGTTCGCTGATGACACCACAATTTCCGTTAGGGATTCTGACTTGGCAAGTTTAATGGATGAGGTCTGTGGGGCGCAGTCGAGGGCTGAAAACTGGTTTCGGAACAATAGTCTTATACTGAACAACTCGAAGACGAGCCGTATGATATTCTCCTTGAGAGAAGTACCTACGGACTGCACACTCTCCCGTGAGGCAACAAAATTCTTGGGGGTGCATCTTGACACTGGTCTTCGGTGGGACACCCATATAGAGTCTCTTTCAAAGCGTTTAAAAAGTGGCATTTTTGTGTTGCGAAATTTATCAGGCATAGTTTCAGATGGGGTGTTGCGAACTGCATACTTTGCGTTATTTCACTCACTGGTGTCCTATGCCATTGTTGCTTGGGGCCATGCCCCACAGTGGCGCAGAGTGTTCTCCTTGCAGCGCAGAGCCGTGCGGATTTTGAGCTGCCTTGGGTATCAGGATGATTGCAGAGATGCTTTCATTGATAATAAAATATTAACATTTCCAAATATGTACATATTTGAAAACCTTTTATACATCAAATGCAACTTAGACCGGTACTCGGAGGCTGGCGAAATGCATCAGCACGGCACTCGAGGCAGGGAGCAGCTCTCGGTACCTTTGTGGAGGCTGGAAAGGTGTCGGAGTGGAACAAATTATTGGGCTGTGAAATTTTTCAATAAATTACCAGAAAGTGTGAGAGCACTTCCTGATAAAATGTTTAGGGGAATGGTACACGAAGTATTGCTTAGGAATCCCTTCTACGACAAAGAAGAATTTCTCAATTTTACTTGGAACTAATTGTTTTTATGTTGCTAAATCCTCAAAACTGATTTTTTACTAAATATTTTAACTTGTATTGTATTGTCACTTGATGTACCAGGTCTTAATTTGTATTTTATATTCAACTGTTGTTTCTGAATATCTATAAGTATTTTCTTGTATGAAATTTTTAATTTGTAATCTTGACTTGTGTAAACGCTTTTTGTGTATTAGCACCAATAAATTATGAGTATGAGTATGAGTATGAGTATCACCGTAGGAAAATTATAGTGTATAACTTGCACGGAATGCTAATTTCCTCACTATCATTCCGTACTCGTTGAACAATATACTAATTATCTAGGTGATTTCGGTTAGATCTTCATATTTTGAGCACTGGATTCTGTAGTTGAAATATTTCCAATTAGTAGAGAAACACCGTGTGAGTTTGTAATTTGTGATGGATTAAAGTGAAAACTGACCTTATTGAAATCAGCAAGTTCGGCTATTTCTTCCCACAGACTCATCATGATGTGTTGGTTCTCGTGAAGTCGGTTATAACTGAATTCTCCCTTTCCTTCTATTATGGTCGCCCTCAAAGACAGACAAGCGAAATCTCTCTCGTCCAAATAACCATTGTTATCCAGATCTGGAACAAATAAACTCACATCGTTATAGACCAGGAGATGGTGACACCACGTTTTCCCATTTTACACCTCATGTCCTTTTAAGGCTTTATAATTAACCCCAGAATTTGAACATGGCTGCCGCACATACTTCATAAGGAAAAACGCTTTTCTTTCTTTTTGTGTTTTCATACACGTCTCTAACCATCTCTTACAGGTCGGGTATTTTTCCATCATGCTGGAAGACAGCTATAGTCCAACCAATCCCAAAAAAATGGAACAAGAACCTGCCCAACAACTACAGGCCCATTGCCCTGTTATCAGTAATCTCCAAAGTGATGGAAAAAGTAATCAATATTGAGCTTATCAAATATCTGGAGAGCTCAGGAATCATCAATGATAGATAATGTTTTCGCCACCGAAGATCTACTGGAGATCTACTTTCCTACGTCACCCATTCATGGCAAGCTTCATTAAATAAACACGGGGAATCTCTAGCTGTCGCGTTGGACATATCGAAAGCATTCGACCGTGTTTGGCACGAAGGACTCTTCCACAAACTACCATCATACGGCTTACCACCTCAGCTATGCCATCTCTTATCGAGTTTTCTTTCAGGCAGATCGCTTTCACGTGGTAGTGGACGGTGTATCGTCTGATACCATCAATTCCGGCGTTCCACAAGGATCAATTTTAGCACCAACATTATTCCTTCTTCATATTAATGATCTGTTGGAAGTAACAACTTGCCCCATCCACAGCTTTGCAGATGATAGTACCCTCCATACTGCGTTCTCTTCCAGAATTCCCATTTCTTCCCAGGAAACTAAGAACTCACGGCGCAGGCAGTTCAATGCTGTCAATGAAAACCTTGCTGAAATCACAGCCTGGGGAACCAACAACCTAGTTGAATTCAACGCAACCAAAACTCCAGCCTGTATTTTCTCTAGAAAGGCGTAACTCAGTATGCCCAACATTGTAATGTCTGGCACCACCATCTCCACCAAGCCCACCATATCTATGCTCGGTATTTCCATCAGCAACACTCTTTCATGGGATAATCATGTCAGATCCATCGCAAAAGCTGTTTCACAAAAACTCGGATTCTATTGTTTCGTGCGAAAAGCTACTTTACACCTCAACAGCTTCTCATGATCTACAAAGCGCAGATACGGCCTGTTCTAGAATACTAATGTTCCCACATATGGGGTTCAGCACCAAAACATACGCTGATGCTCTCAGATTCCATCCATAGAAGAGCCATTCGCCTGGTGGGTGACGCCACACTTACTCACTCTTTGACAACATTGGAACACCGTAGAAAGGTCGGCGACCTTTCACTTTTCTATCGATAATCCCACGGAAAATGTGCTTCGGAAATCGCTGCTATCATCCCTTCACTAGCAATACCAGTCAGACGAACTAGACAAGCCCAGTCAGCACATCCTTTCGTTGTCAACCTCGAAAGATGTCGAACGGCACTTTATCAAAACTCCTTCATCCATAGAACGGCTAGGCTCTGGAATTCATTGCCTGAGGAAGTATTCCCAACATATAATCTCCAGAAATTCCAAAAAAAATCCAATACCTACCTCCTGTCCCTATCCTCCCTAAGAACGCACGATGTTTTTTTAACATTATAGGGATTTCCTTTCGTGTGCTCCAAGCGATAAAAAAAATTGCATGCCGATGTGAAGAATTGAAGTTTCAGTAACAAAAACGCTTCGGAAAAATTGGCATGCACACCTCGTCTGACGAAAGTTGCAAAAATAACAATTTTTTGCAACTTTCGTTGCTTACACTCGATCAATATAAAGTGTACTTCCGAATGGCACCATTGAAAAAATATAAAGCGACCTTTTTCCACAGAGAATTTTACATGTTTCTTTTAATTGAGAGCTAGTCGCTCATGAAAGGCATATAAAACGAGGAGAATCGTGGAGAACGAAGCGACGTTGCCACAGTTCTTAAAAATGGTTAGATAAACAAACATTTTCCAAAACAAAGTGTCACTGATGACAAACGATTGGAGTTTTCATTCAGGCTCTCTGATATAAATATTTTTAAACCGAGTGACATTTTCGGGTACATATCATTTGAATTGTCCTTGTAAGTACACGTGTATTGAAATGATACTCGTATTTTTATTTTGTAGAAACGAAGAGAGTGAATCCCAAATAATCTAGAAAAACGGATGTACCAACTCCTTGATTAAACTACAGACTGTGTTCAAATATTGCTGTGTTCAATATAATGTACTTACTGTCTTTATGTTAATAGAGGAGGCGGTATACATTCATTATTCCAGATTATTTGGGATTTTGTCTCCTCGTCTCTATAAAATAAAAATATCAATATTATTTCAATATACGTGTAGTAAGGACAAATCAAATAATTTGACCCAGAATGTCACTGCGTTTAAAGAATTTTACTATCAGAGAGCCTGAAAGAAATATTCACCAGCTTGTCAGTGACATTTGAATTGAAAAAGGTTTGAAGAAGAGAAATAAAGGTACCTATATAGCAAAAATATCGACTTTCTACTCATCTTTGAATGTTTCCAGAACGAATCTGCTCTCGTTTCCAACATAAATAAAAGATTTTTGAATGACAAAGGACCCCGCAAATTTAGTACGGAAAATGGCTTTCGGCTAATTTTTCTAAAAATTTGGTATGTTCCAGATGTTAGCGTCCTTATTACAGAGTTCAATTTATAGATCGATGCTATGATCAGTTTTCGAACTACAGTCAATCATTTGATTTCGGCTGTTTAGAATATTTTGCATCGATTTGAATTATGTGCTCTAAGTCGTGATAAATCTTCAGTAGAAATAAACGCTCCACGTCTAATTTCTACCTCATGAATCCCTCTATTCGAATAGATAATTATATCACATACAGGGTATTGCATTCCATCATGACAAGGTAATATTCATGGGCATATAGACAAATATTGAAAATATCAGAATTTCGATTTTGACTCAATCACATAAAACTTGAAAACAAACGGCTAGAATCGGACAATTATTTGACACACAATGTATCTTGATCATCAACATGAGGATCCATATGATTCCCTCTGATACCATGTCCGGTTTACCATACATAGGGTGATGACAATTTGAAAGCTAAGAATTGATGTACCTCATATACAGAATGAGATACATATCACGAATGGTTCATAACTGTTTATACAGTATGTCCCACTTACCATGCTCACCATGGGTATCTTTTTCACGGTGAGAGATACGAGGTCGGCTAAATGACACCAAATGTGGAGTTTGTCAAGGCCAACTATAATGTGAAAAAATATTTTGATAAAATCTATTCGTTTTTGTTTTATACGCAAAAAACAGATTTTGATCATTTTCATGTCTCCTCCATAACTTCTTTATTTATGAAAATATTAAAATAGAAATTTCACATTCTCATGGCAATTTTTCAAAGTGATTTCGAAAAAAATATGAAATTTATACCAACTCTTCTAGAATTTGAGATGTCAGCACCAATTTTAGTTTTTCAAATGTAGGTCATAGCTCACTATGACAGTTACGAATAACTTTTTTTTCTCTTACCGATGATATGTCGCAGTAATAGTTTTGTGTTGATAACAACGGAGTTATCGTCATTTATACAAAAACAAAAAATTATTTGGAAGCCGCCATCTTGAATTTATAAATTTTAACAAAAAAATCATGATCTCCGACCTCAAAAACCCACGCTCACCAATTTTGAATGGAATCGGACCAAATCTTGTCCGCCATCTTAGAGCAGCCATTTTTTTTAATTTCAACAAAAATTCCATAATGTATTGTGAACGGAGACAATAGCATTGCTTCCTGTTCAGTTGTTATAGATAGAACATGGTATTCACTATTGAAATCTGAAAATGATTCAAGATTAATTAATGAAAACATCCTGTATCTCATTAGATTGCCAACGTCACCAATTGTCACTGAGAACTGAAAAATGTCTAGAAAAATACGAATTTGTCATTCAAAAATCCATTATTTATGTTGAAAACGGGAGCAGATTCGTTCCCGAAATGTCCAAAGATGAGTAAAAAGTCGATATTTTTTCTATATACCTTTATTTCTCTTCTCCAAACCTTTTTTTCATACAAATTGTAACTGACAGGCTGGTGAATTTTTCTTATAGGCTCTTTGATACGAACATTCTTTAAACGCAGTGACATTTTGGGGCAAATCATCTGATTTGAAATAGTATCGATATTTTTATTTTATACAGAATCACAAATAATCTGGAATAATAATAATGTACTTATTTCGATAACAACATGTATACTCTGTTGTAATGATAAGTAACTCATACTGGAATATTAATTTTGAAAATTGAAAATGTGTTTTTCCAGACATTTTGGCACCAGTGCTCTGCCAGCTCAACAAGTGTCACGATTGATTATTCAGAATAAGAGTGATAATCAATATAAATATCTTTGCAGGAACAAACTCACTTACCGTACAAGTATTTCACAACAAAACTCACTCTATTATCCCAGCTGTAGGCCATAATAATTGTTTAAAACAAAACTAAGAACAACTCAGTCAATATAGCAAAACAAATTTGTATGTAGTGTTACCGCTATAAATAAGATTTCACTATTGGAAATGAGGATGACCGGCATCTATTTTCGGTGGGTCGACGTAACACTTTTAGTTTTGGGATAACCAGAAAAATAACGTTGCTAAGGGAAACGGGAGAGATGCTGCAATCGGGATTGAAACACGTGATGTGTCATTCTCAATGAGAGTAATTTCGATGTTTTGATATTTTCTCGAAAATTTCATAAATTTATTTTGAACCAATAAGAAGGCTTCTTTATGACGTTGCTTATAGCATCGGGTGATTTTATTCGCCTACTATTAACTTAATGGAACTAATAAGTGATAATTATTCTGTCAAAAATGGAGCGCCTCTTATACAGGGTATGTCACGACAAGCTCACACTATCTTCATTTAGAGAAATAGTTCAATCAAATGGTGCACAAAAACAGCTTGAAATGGAAAGTTCTGGTGTAATTAATTTCAGTGGTTTATAGTATGCTCTTTGATGTGCTCAACACGAATCTTGAGTTGTCCACCAGAAATTTCATCGGCAAATATCAGAAGATACCAAAAGAGCACACAAAATTATGTTTTTTAATGGTTTTCAGCTTTCAACTCGCAAAGGAAGCCGTTCACACAAAAAATTAACGAGTAGTAAAATCAAGAGGGGAAAATTATCTACAATTGATCTCTCATAATACTTTTTGGTATGTCATTTGGTTTCCATGCAAAAAAATGTTGAAGTTTTAGTGGAATCAGTGATTTTTGGAAAAAAATAAAATATTCAACTAATTCATAGATTTTATTCCAAAAAGATAAACATATCACTGTCTAATGAAATTCTCCTCCTAGACACAGACTCCGTGGCTTCTACAGGGCAGCTTTCAAGATCTTCTACGCCTGTTATAAATAATCATTGACTTAATTCAATAATTTCAACAATATATCGATTAGATATGAAAGCAATACCTATTGAGGATTTCTTCGACATTTTTATACGTATGTTAAATCACTTGAAGCACTAAAGACTTTTTAAAAACAATTTATTTGAATGAGCTACAATTTGAATGGAATTAGTACAATAGAAAATTAGATGTTGACGAGAGCTTGGCTTGAGTAGAACTGATTCTTCGCAGTGCAACGATGTAGCATCTAAGTTCTGAGGATGTCGAGTCAGCAGACACGTGTGTGTCTTCGGTTACTACTTGGCCTTGAAGTCATCAGTAATGTGAAACTCCTGAGATGGTACTTGCACAAGTATTCCTGGTATATGATGGGAATATTCATATAACAGCTCCCATCCTTTTGAAAAAGTTGTTGCTCTACATCGACAACTTTTTGGAAGTGCCAACCTAGGCGCCGGGTTCGATGAAGGCATCTTCTTGCTCTTCTTCTGTACTCGTATGGGCTCCCAAATTGGGTCGTCTTCTTGGAAACATGGCTCGAATACTTCTCATGGCCTTACTTCCTCTAGGCGGAGGTGATGGTGCATCGGATGGACCATTTATAGCTAGTCTTCTCATTCTTCTACACTTACAGAATATGTATAGAAGAATTAGGGTTGCGATGAGGGCTATAGTGAAATACGTGAACCAGGATATGTTTTTGTCCACAAATGGCTGATTGATTAGGTCGTCCAACGTCTTGGAATAAGATTCTAACTTATGTTTGGCGATGTCTAGGTCATCGACATTCAAATCGCTCAATTTAAGTGGTTTCAAATTCGGCAGGTCAACTTGTTCCGGAAGGTCATTGCAACATTCGTACGGGATTTCGACTGGATAGGTCCCGTACGAAATATTCAGAGTTTTCGTCGAGGTAGCTTGAATTTTGGTGATTCCAATGAAGGCACTGCAATCATTTTTGAGGCTGATTAGAGAGTTCTTGTGAAGGATTCTGGTCTCTGGTCTCTTCTTGGGGCAATTTATTGTTATTTGTATCGGTTCTGACAGAATCGCTAACCAATAGTTTTCGGCTAGTTTCTGGACTTTATATCCTTGACTGAGTATGAGGGCACTCTGACAGTTTTCTGGTACTTTTCGGAATGTTTTCATGATACGGGCTTCACACATGGCAGTGTTGTCTATCGGGTATGGAAATATATTGGAACACATCTTCATTCCAGGAAATACAGCTTTACAATCTTTCATGTCGCTGATTGGTACGAACATCAAGGAATCATCGTCTTTCGCGAATTTTTGTGAAATCGAGAGGACATGATGTAAACCAGTTCTGTTGTCGAATATCGGAATAGGATAGAGTCGATAGAGGTGGTATATTTGAGGATCAACTAAGGGAATTTTCAGAACAAAAACAATATTTAAATTTATTTGAAATGCTTGGAGTTCAATGATATCAAGATATTGGGCAACATTGGCTAATTTTGCAGGTAGAGGTAAGTTACTTTTGTGCAAATTTTGGGAAATTTCCTGTAAAGCGCCTACTAAATGGTCAGGTGTGATTATTGAAGGGTGGATGATATTAAGTCTAGCAAATGTGATTGAATTTATTATATCGTCAAGGCTGTCCTCAAGATACACATAACTCTCCATAAGTTTCTCACATAGGTCATAAACTTTGAGTTTGCCTTGAATAAATGATAAAGCGTTATTCATTTCACTAAATGATTTTTCGACTTCTCTTATGTCTTCATTGAACGTTTTTTCGTCTATTTGAAGTTTCCGTATGGTCATATTGAAATTTTTTATTACTGACGTTGTGACCGAAATTTGATTTTTCAGAAGGTTTTCTAATTGGTGTTCGTCGTCATGTAGCTTATTGATACAATTAGAATAATACTCGCCGTCAGAAGCATCAAGGTTACCAGTGATTGACTTGAAAATACTACCTATTCCGTCAATAAGTCCGCGTTTGTATCTTTTTGTATCCAGGGATATTTCATTCAGTTTTGATTTGACTGACTTCGAAATTTGGGTAATAAGGCTGATATGTGTTTTAACTTCTGATCGAAAGACGCTTATAGTGCGAATAGGTGTTGATTTCACAGAGTCGGTCAGGGTTTCTAATATTCTACTGTTGTGTTCGTAAGCTTCTCGGAGTAGTGATATATCTTTATGAACAAGTAAGGTCCAGTAATCATTCGTTAGTATAATGTCATCTTCTTCATGGTAGTACACACCGAGAGTGTTATTAATCGGCAAAATTTTGAATTGACAAACTGCTGATCCGAGCAGCAGAGTGAACCTGAAAATAAATTAGTTTTCAGAATACGGTATCATGCGATCGAAATTAACTTTAGTTCTTTGATTTGTTTGCGGATTTAATAGTATCGCTGAATTTTTCAATATTTCTATTATTTTGAATGGACCATTAAATTTATTTTGTAATTTGTCTTTTATTTGGGATTCTTTTATGTACACCTGTTCTCCTACTTCGTATTCAGTCTGTTTTGAAACGGTTTTGTCAAAGCGTTCTTTTGCTTTTTGTTTAGTGCGGTATGTCTTTGCTCTTGCTACTTTATAGTAGTACGATATTCGATTGTTCAAATCTCTCACGTATTTTGAAATTAGGGCTTTTTGATTATAAAGAGTTTCAGGTGGTCTACTCGCCGTGTGTCCAAAGACTAACTCATGTGGGGTGAAACCATGAGTTTTATTAGTGGAATTGTTATAGCATATGATTGCATATGGGAGAATATTGAAGGGATGTTCATCTGGGTTCTCTGCCATATTGACACGAATCATTTCGAGGAGTGTGCTATGAAATCTTTCGATAGAGCCGTTTGATTGCGGATGGTTTACGCTAGAGAAAGATATTTTGATGTCGTACAATGAGCATAAGTCTTTTATTAGAGTATTGTCGAATTCTCGTCCGTAATCACAGTGGATTCGTAGGGGGGTTCCAAAATGTTGAAAATATAGAAGGAGGGTGTTTACAACGGATCTAGCGGATTTATCTGGAAGTACGTAAGCTTGTGTAAATTTTGTGAGTTCGTCTCGAATAGTGAGCGCGTAATTTTTAACTGGGACTTCGACAATGTCTATGTTAATTCGTTCAAAAGCAGTATGGGGTGTCTCTGTTATAACTAATGGGTTATTAAGATTTTTCCTACACACTTTGGTTTTGTGACATACTTGGCAATTTTTTATTAAATTTTCAACGTCTTTAGTGATACCGTCCCAATTATATTTTTGTCGTATTCGTCTAATAGTCTCGTTAATACCACGATGTAGATTATTTTTTCCTTTGTGATATTGGTCTAAAATTATGGGTATCTGATCTTGATCTGGTGTTTTGACTACGTTTTGGCATACTTTAATTTTTATATCCTCTTCAGCGAATATAAAACAAAGTATTTCTTGCATCGGCAACTCCGGGTTGTCTTCGATACAATAGTAATTCAATGGGTCCAACTCATTTCGATTTTTATATAAAGTCAAAAAGAGGTGTTCAATCACTGTTTCAGGGTCGTATGTCAGTGGAATCAAGTAATATTTTCGGTTTTTAACTGATTTACTAGAAAGGATATTAATTTTGAGGTTTTGAAAGTCATAGTGTTCTTCGAAAAGATCGTCTATGATGTCATAATGAATTTTAGAGAGTTTATTTTGTTGTATAGGAACGATTATGTGTCTGTTAGATTTGTCTAGTATGTGGCATTGAGAGTATTGAACTTTAGAATAGTCTATTAGAGATGTCGTTCTGTATAGGTCTACAAATCTGTTGAATTCGTCTTGTATTATTTCTATTGAGATTTCGGAAGTTTCGTCTTCTGGTGGAGTAGTTTCAGGGTCGTTCGATGATTCTTCAGGGGTTCCTGCAATTGTCGGTTCTTCAGTAAGGTTTATTTTCGATAGGGTTCTCAATGATTTCAAGGTCGGAGTCTTCTTCGTTCGAAGGAAGTACTAGAGTTTTCGAATGAAAAGCAACACATTCTTGAATATGATTCACTTTTATGCGAGAGAGAGCATCGGCATTCTTGTTGATCTTTCCTGGTTTGTATA